GAGCTCTGCTGATGAGAATTAAATTCGGGGAGGGGGTGGATGTGTGGGGGGGGTCACAACCAGTCATTATGGAATTAATCAACAGCAGAAGGCAAACGAGGCGACTTTAGGAAATAAAAGTGCAAACAGGTCCATTTAAAAAAAATAAATAAATAAATAAAATAAAACAAAACCAAACACGGCTGCAGGGATTCCTGCCGTGTCTCTAGCACGAGAAACTGCGTGGCAACTATTTGTTTCCACCTTAAGAGATCAGAAAGGATCCTGCTGAGCAAGTGCTTGGATGCTTTTGGAGCCTTTAGCAAGTTATTTGCTGGCACTCCTCGTTAACGAGCTAGCGAGGAAAGTATATTGTGTTCTTGGACTATTCTAGAAAAAGCAGGATTCTCTCCCAAAAGTGTCAGAATGATTTAAACTTGCTCCGCAGCCAAGCATTAGAGTTGAAGCCCTTCGTTTCCATCCTGATGTGCAGTTCTTTGCCACCCCAAAGTGGAAACTAGGGTGATTTTCCTTCCAAATGTTTCATCTCTGAACTTGCAGTCGGTCGGCTGTTTGCTTTTCTGGATTAACCATTCAATGAGGTTATCTAGAAAGCATGCAATTCCGTGCAAAAAGGAGGAAAAAAAAATTTTTTTAAGGAAAAAGAAGTCTGGAAAGGGAGTGGAGTGAAATCCTTGGTAGAACTAATTAGGCAGCAATTTTCTTAATAATAATTAAAAAATCCCAGTCCGGTAAAAATGGGCATCTGCCAAGTTCAATCTTCTTAAACGCAGCGCTTGATCCACCACGAAGGGCGCGTCGGCCAGAAGGAGCATCTCACCGCTGCATATGCCACAACGAGGGCGGTCGCTTCATAAATAATTCCTGGCATATTACCTATGGAGTCACTTATGAAATTACCCTGATTTCTCGTTTCAGTAAAATGCACATACACGTGCGCGGGCCCTCGCCGCTCGGGGTAGGAGACGGAGCGGGTTATATAAGCCTGCAGACAGACACAATCCCCTCTTGCTTAAAGATGAAGTATCCATCAATGTTTGTCTCGGGCAGATGTAATCACAAGCAGTCAAGTCTGGAGGGCAGGACACTGCATGAATAATTCAGGCACTCCAGTCGACTTGATTGTGTGCAGATAAAACACAAGTCAACCGCTAAACAGGTCAGCTGATAAACTTGTTTGTTCGGGACTCGCCACCCTCCACCAGATGCACCCGGGGCCCCGCGCTGCAATTAGCGGTTGGATTTCTTTGGTGCAGACTTGGCAGCCAGGACAGCCGCCAAGCCTTTCTTGCACTAAACCCGCCCGCCCGCCTCCCACGCTGGCTCATAAAGCCGTGGGGCTGGAAGGGACCTCCAAAATTCCCATCCAGGCCAACCCCCTGCCTGAGGCAGGATCAGCCCCGTCCAAGTCATCCCAGACAAATCCATCATCCTCACGCACCTCACCCAGCTCCGAGATTCATAAAAGCAGCTGGAGTCCTTTCTTCCCATGGCTGCTGGCCCTTTTCCCCCAGCCCCAAGAGCACCAGACATCCCGGGGGGATCATGCAATAGCAACGGTGCCTCCCGACGCTCCCCGATTCAGACGCGGTGCAGCACCCACGACATCTGCCGCCACGGCCGGCCGGCAACGTCGCGCTTGTTGCACCCCGGGGGGGGTGGGACGGCATCTATACACCGGCTTCCCCACCCGGGCCCTGGCAAGGCCAACAACACCTGCTTCGCTGTTCGTTGCGCGCATCGCGCCGTGCCGGAGGACGGAGAGCCGCTTGCTTCCTCCCAAAAGCCACCCACGAGCACCGGCTGTCTGTCGTGCAGCCTCACAACGCGCCCCGAGTCCACGCCGCCCTGCTGGGACCTGCTTAGGCAGAGTTGAGGTGACGGTTGCCTGGGATGGTTTGGGCCGGCCTAATCCTGCTTGCACTTAGATGTCACCCCCGCCGGTCCCTCCCAGCCCCGCTTCTCGATGCTAGCAGGCTTTTTAAAGGTCTACTCTAAGACCCTCCCAAGAGCTTCACGAAGCACCCTTAGAAAGAAATCAGAAGGGTGCGTTGCCAAATGCAAGTCAACCTTGTCTGATCTGCATCCCACCAAGATGTCATTGCTACCTCCTTCCCTTGCCCCCCTCCAGCTCTCCGACATTCATACTAGCATCAGATCCATCCTGAAAGCCAGCATTTAAGTTACAGAGGGTTCATGGATGGGAGATACAGCAACAGGATGCTGGAGCGAGCCAGGAGGTCACAGGCAGGGGAAAAGAAAGCAGCAGCGTGCCTCCGTCTGCTCCAGGAGATATGCTCTCCACCTTTTCGGGGCCTATTTCCATCTCGATACACACACACACACACCCCTATTAGCTGCAACGAGAGGGAGCTGCACTGAACAGGAGACCTAGGTAGCAAATCTGAGACCCTTCAGTTGCATCCAGATAGCACATGCCAGCAATTCATCCCTGAGCCAGCCCCATCCACCCCCCAGGTCTCCGACTGCATCCGACCGAGACCCTGCAAAGCCGTGCTAGCTCCTGTACAGTCCTCACCGAAAGGCACGTACCAACTAGCATTGCAACAGGCCCCTCGATGCCAGGATCACTGCCCCACACGGCGAGAGCAGAAGCGACAGAAAGGAAAAACAAAAGCAGAAGTCTGGAGAGGCAAAAATTTCCCCAAGCTGCAGTATATCAATGGCTTCTGTTCTGGTTTAAAATCCCAATGTGTACCTAAGCCCGCCTGTCTGAACTCAAGGTGAGAAAGAGGGAGAGATTGCAAGCCACATGCCGGCTGTGCATTTCCATAAATTATCCCGGGCTCCAATCTGTTAGCAGTACTTTGTTACTCAGGATAGCGACAATAGGATTTACGCCGCTATTAACAAAGACACTGAGGTCAACCCCGTTGCAACTCATGAATTGCAAAGCCGATGTCAACTCCTATCTATCTTAAGTTCTTAATTAGGACTACTTTTCAAACCGGTAAGCAGCAGCAGCAGCAGTACAAATAATCAGGTTTCATCTCAATAATAACTTCATTCCTTTAAGTTTTACCATCATGTGCCCAGGCTTTAGGCCCTTTAGCTTTAATCTTATCAAGGTAGCACATCACATTCTGCTACAGCCCTTCATGTTTTTCCCTCAGGCAAGTTACACATTAGGGCAGACCGAAAAAAAAAAAAAAAAAAAAAAGAGGAGTTGCAAACATTGCTTCACTTTCCAGATGCAAGGTCTAAAACATGGGGCTGAGTCACCCGGCGCTGGAGACTGGATCCTGGGTGATCGTTTGTTTTGCAGCTGTGCAATAAAGAGCTGGAAAGGTCCCACCTCTGACCATAAAGGCAGGCAGGTTGGACCAATAATAATAATAATTAAAAAAAAAAAAAGAAGTCGGCATGCCATGCATTAGCTGCTGGTATTTTGCAACGTTAAAAATCACACACGCAAGGCATGCTCATCCAAGCACAGAACTTAACGTGCTACTTGCATCTCTCGTGAGCAAATTACCAGGAAAAAAAAAAAATCCGAATTCCTTCCCAAAGCACAACAGATTTCCATCGGGGTCCAGCATAGACTCAGCCACCCGCTCTAACCCCCGTTCAGCAGAATCGGGACCCAATTCGGGGAGGGGGGGGGATAAGGGATGGGAGAAAGGAAACAGCACAATTTCCCCCTCCTTCTACCCACTTACCTGTTTGTGCATTTCAATGTTCAAACCATAAGACATTTCATAGTACTGGGGGGGGAAATAAAACACACACACACACAAAAACAAAAAAAGAAAAGAAAAGAAAAGGTTTGTCACTCAATTTGGCAGAGAACCATTCCAGAAAAGCATCCCGGACGCACTCGTACTTCCCGTGTTAGCCGAGGACATTTGACAAATCAAAACCACCGCCCGTGTGCAGGGCTCGGGCTGGCGCAAGAGGCTTTGATTTCTGCTTTTCTCCCCCAAAGAAACAAAGCCCGGCAGCCGTCCCCCTCCGAGCTGGACATAAATCCCATTAGAGGAGCCACCAGCTGCACTTGGGCTCTTCCCCCCCCCCGGAAAGTTACCTCCTAACTCAGCCTCCCCCCTCCGGACTGCACCCAGGGAAGGGGGCCGCGCTTATTAATTTTCCCAAGCATGGACACGGACACGGTCCTGGGAAAATCCGGATGCAAAAGGACCCCTCCCTTGAAATACAAGGAAAATAGCAACACGGGGGTCCTCTTCCTGCCATGACCCCCCACCCCACGCCCAGCTCCTGGCAGCGTCGCGCAGCCCAGGAAAGCAGGCGCTCGGCTATTACGACCATCCAGACCGACACCGAAGGGCAGGGACGTCCGGCTGCCCGGCCACCCTGCCTTCCCCCGGACTTCAGACCCACAGCTACCCCCCCCACACCCCGGCAGGGGAGCAGCCCCGAGAGGGCAGGCGCGGCTCCCCCACTAGCTGCCCAGTGCAGGGCCAGAGGTCCGAGCTGGCCTGGGGGAGCTCCCAAGGGGTCCGGTCTCCGTCCAGGGAGCGGTCCCAGGGCCAAGGGGGGGTCCCAGGAGGCAGGCGCTGGGCCTGGCCGGCCTCCGGAAGGACAAAGGGGAGCGGAGAGGAGGTGCCCAAGCAGGGCAGGGGAGACCAGTGCTGTCCGGAGGGGTCCCCAGCGCTCCCCCACCGCCCGCCGGACCCCAGCCCCACACCCGCGCCCT